CGATGTGGTATATTGTGATTCCAGCAGGTTACGATGTGGTATATTGTGATTCCAGCAGGTATCGATGTGGTATATTGTGTTCCCATCAGGTTCTGATGATATGGTATATACAGTACATGTATACATATGTATCGGCTGGTGTGTTTACAATATGGTTGGCTCGTTTGTATCAAAGAATGCGACTTTTAACATAATTGGACCGTTAACAATTTATATATTAGCATACAGGTATCTGTATCTAAATTCTGAATTCAAAATGAAACGACAAACAATTAGCTTTCAATCAATTTGATTAGAGTGCAACATTGAAATTAAATATACATATGCAATATATAAAATGATTTACTAGATTGATGCCGAGCCAGTCATACGACCACTTCATAAAATTGCAGAGGTTGTCATCAGCAAACATCACCATTGGGGTGCTCGGGTAGATCAAAGACGTGGTGATTGGAGCTAGCACTGTATATAGCACTCTCCCTTGAGGCATTCCGTCTTTGTGTATTGCAGAGTTAATTTCACTTATGAGCAGGTATTGATTGTTACGTCATTTGTTTGTGAGAGTAACGTCATCAATTTTTTGAGAAAACGACGTAATTTTCTCACATAAACCAATGACGTACCAATCAATACCTGCTCACAAGAGAAGATAACTCTGCAATACGCAAAGACGGAATGCATACCATGACTGCGTGTTATTTTGACGACCTGTTTAAATCAATTGGTTTGTTCTCCTTTCTCCCACTTTTTTTCTGATCAAAGGAATTATATAAACACTGAACAACAATAGATGTGTCATTATAGTCTGTTCTGGTATAGTACAGGTAGATTATTTACCTGTATCTACCTGTTCACTAATAGGAAATACTGTGTTAGTTATAGGAATATTTAACAAATATATTTCCTGATTTACGTAATATATACTGGAATTATAAGTTAATATATAAGATTCCATTTATTACTTATAAAAAAACACATCAAAATACATTAACTGAAAACCTGCTTTTATTAATTTCATATTAAATCAATTTTATACATTTTTACTACACATTTACATGTATGTTATATATATATTTCATAAAATAGAACTAAATGTAGCAAGCAATTTATAACAATTATAATCAGTTCAGACATAGATCATGTATATGCAAAAACAGATGCAAAGCTGGGAATGAAAATAAATAAAACAAAATTAATTACATGTACACATGGAATACTTATAATTAGCACTGGTTGATCAAATCAATCATATGGGTGGTTGTGGTGATGGCGGCCGTTTCCAGTAGGGATGTTGTTTCGGGTACTAAGGGTAGCTGAACAGTTGGGGATGGTACATCTCCAATATACACGCTCACAAATTTGTGCATTTGCCATGTTGGTGGTTGATGGGGAATGTGTGAGACTAACAAAACATAAAGCTTGGACAATCTCACTTGTTTAATCACCATGGCATCAATTAAGTGACGAACATTTAGGTTATGAAATGTATTCACTTTTTATTACCGGACAGAGAATGTATTTCTATTAATAGTGATAAATCGCTTTGCAAACGGTCAGCTTATATGTCTCTTTATAAGTTCATATACTTGTATAATTAATTGTTGACTCAATTCGCTCCAGTAAAGTGGTCAGTTGATGGACCCAAACCATCAGGTGTTGAGATTCATTATTATCAACTAGAAATATCAGTGGACCGTTATCAAATAGAAACATAACTAATGATTATGTTTTAGGGGAAAATAATCTAATGAGTGATACTAAGTTATTAATAATTACACTGAAGACGCATTTATCGGTAAAAAAGGTTCTCTAAAAATAATGCTCCAATATGAATTTGCTTCACCCTAAATTAAATCAAGATAAATTTAAATTTAAATGAATCAAAGCATTATCATCTATATATATACTATTAAGTATATAAAATATTTGTTACTGTTTTGTATGTTTTGCATAGATGAAAATGGTATATGATATGAAAAAAATGGCTAAATATTATGAAAATAGACTATATCAAAGCTACATGTATATGACAGCACTGTATATATATATATATATATATATATATGATACAGGTAATTTGGGAGAACACAGGTAAAAACTAGGTAAAATATATATGAAACAGACTATAACTGCTATCACAACATTACTGCCTCTATGGGTTTTTTAAAAAGTGGGAGAAAGGAGAACACACCGTCTTTCCAACACATCAATTTGCGCACTAAATCGCTTAAGCCTTTACTTGTAAACCTTCAGTGTGTCACTCTGTCGAAAGTCTTCAATAAGTCCACGCTTTTCTACATCTATTCCCTTGTCACCGTCTAAAAGTTCACTACTTTTATCCATTATTTTAGTAACTTAAGTACATCTGATGTTTTTTTTTATGTTATTTATAAAAGCTTAATGATTTTAATTCATGAATAACTAAGATTATTTTGGAGTGTATACGATATTTACCAAAATACTACTATGTTTACTTAATAAATATAGGAGTAAATGAAAACATCGGAGGAGGAGTTCTGAACATTGAGTTTTAACTATAGTTTAAATATACTGGGACCTCTCGTCTACAGAAAGGAATTCAAATAAACCATTCCGATGAGTATTTGCACCGATCTTTTGAACTTTTAAGTTTGAACTATAACTTATTTCCATTATCGGTCTAGCTAAGACGTTTATAAATATGACCCCATTACTTTATTAGCACGTATCACATTAAAATAAAGATAAATGAGCTCTACCTTAAAATGTCCTAAAATGTAAACATCATGCTAATCGACTTTACTATAGAAAATATATATTTTTTGTTAAAAATCCGAATGTAAGGTTTTGCATATATCTTTCTTGGGAGATGCTAAGATGATTTGTGTTGTTCGATTCAAAATATAATGTCATATCTATACATGATGTATCATGAAATTCTTTTTTCCAAATCGTAGTCCCTGAATATGACAACAACATCAAGCCATGACAGATTTTCGTTTGTCAGGAGTTATTGCGTGTTTTTCAGGGAAAGTAGGTTTCCATTTTGTCTGGGGCTGAAAGAAGAACACCAACATACCGTGAACGACTTCCTGTTTTTCAGAGATAGTAGACAGAACGCCAACATACCGTGAACGACTTCCTGTTTTCCAGAGAAAGTAGGCAGAACCCCAACATACCGTGAACGACTTCCTGTTTTTCAGAGATAGTAGACAGAACACCAACATACCGTGAACGACTTCCTGTTTTTCAGAGATAGTAGGCAGAACCCCAACATACCGTGAACGACTTCCTGTTTTCCAGAGATATTATGCAGGACATCAACATAACGTGACCGACTTCCTGTTTTCCAGAGATAGTAGACAGAACCCCGGCATACCGTGAACGACTTCGTGTTTTCCAGAGTTAATAGACAGAACACCAACATACCGTGAACGACTTCCTGTTTTCCAGAGAAAGTAGGCAGAACACCAACATACCGTAAACGACTTCCTGTTTTCCATGGATAGCAGACAGAACACCAACATACCGTGAACGACTTCCTGTTTTCCAGAGTTAATATACAAAGCGCCAACATACCGTGAACGACTTCCTGTTTTCCAGAGAAAGTAGGCAGAACACCAACATACCGTAAACGACTTCCTGTTTTCCATGGATAGCAGACAGAACACCAACATACCGTGAACGACTTCCTGTTTTCCATGGATAGCAGACAGAACGCCAATATACCGTGAACGACTTCCTGTTTTCCAGGGTTTATTGGTAACCTTGCTGATGGTTCTTTAGGTACGATACCGTTTACTAATTGGCGTGATAACCGAGGTGTAGGAAGCTCGATGTCTGTTCTAAAAACTTCTTAGAAAGAAATTCAAACCACATCCTACTGTTAAATAATACTATAGTAACAGCACAAAGACGGCTAGGAGTATGTAGGGGGTGAATGGTTTCGTGTATATTTCCTTTCTCTTAAATTTTGTAAGGTAGACGCTGCTGGTTAGTAGATGTATTTGTGCAAGAAGTAAGTAAGGCATGATTTTTTTTCCCACGAAAATATGCAGGTTTCGAATAACCTTTGAATAAGTAGTTTTGCTATTTCTTCATTTTCTGAATAATTGTAATATTTAACTAGAAATACGAAGTAAGGACGCATCTATTAAAAATAGTAAATATGCGCAGAAAGCCACAATTTTTCTTCGAATGATGGAAAATCCCCCCCCCCCCCTTTTAGTTTAAAGCAACAGGTGATTTTTAATGTGAGCCAAGAAATAGCACAGATTAGAGCTTTCAATACATATCGCACAAGGACACCCACTCAAGTTTTACTACCCGAATATAATAAGTATATTAGCGTTAGTTTAATCATACTTTTGTCAAAGAAAACATAATTGAAACAAAGATATATTGTCATAACATTGAAAAAATAAATAGTCTGAAAATCAATTAAGAATTGTATTTGATAGACAATAGAAACCTGACAGTTATCATTATTAGTATGTGGTGAGTTAAACCATGCAAAAGATAACTTTAAAGATTGTCGACAATAACAATTAATAAGACTTGGGGAATTCACGAAAACGTTTAATAAGTAAAAAAATCCCAAATTAAAAACAATGTATATATGATGGGATTAAAGATCATTGTATGACCCCTTAAAAAAAGGCATGCTCCTGTATGCGTTTCTCTGGTTTTTGTGTTTGTATTAAATTGTAACACAAGTGGCTAAATGGTTAATAACTCCTGAACGATCAATACATAACGTAAGTTATCATCTTACACTGTAATATCTTAATTATTCTGCCTCGGGCAGCGTAGCCTGCACTATCTCATTTACACTGTTATATATGTACGAGTTAATCCCGTTCTGATAGTGTAGTCTGTGCTGTTATCCCGTTCGGTCTATTTCTTTCTGCGGCATTCCGCTCAAACTAATCTGCTTCAGGCATGTATTCTTGTGATGCACATTTTAGAGTTGATAGAATAAAACAAATGATCAAAATATATTTCAAATACATTTTATTCAATAATAAACAAATATAACCAGCTGCATTCCAATAGAGACAGTAACATGTTTAGCACAGGACATTGAACACATTTAGTTAATTCCTGATGTTATGTTTCATTTGTTTCCCAAATATGTTAAAAAAAAATTTAAAAAAAATAAAATGCTATTCCAATACTACTATCAATTTCACTCTTACCGGGCAAAGTCTATTGTCCGGTCAGACTGAACTATCGTCCGCCCCGGAAATATCGCGTGATGATGACATCCGGTCATTGTAGTCACCATCGACATAAACGTTTTGAAAATATCAATTACAAAGTGGCAATGCATCGGCAGAATGTTGGGTATTTTCATTTATTAACAACCATAGATTATTGCACGATAGGCTATGCGCTCGCGTGTATTATTTTCCAACATACCACCTTTCCCACAATGTACCGGTCAACAAGCAAGTCCCGCGACTCGTTTCGTTTGTCGAATGGGAGTACCCGCTTTTAATTTTGTATGTATTTGAAGATATGCTAGCGGACAAATGAAAATATATATTTTACCTCTAGATCTACTTAAAATCTATCAAGCTCATGGTCAGAATGTTCAGCTGAACTTAGCGCGAAGGTTACCTGAAATAGTGTTTGTAAATCTGTCAAATGCTGATTTCATGTGTTGACGGGCGATGTCGATAGTTTGCTGGATTTGATTGATCGAAATATACATCTGGCATGACGTCAGCCAGTGCTTAATGTTTACCGTACGGCGAACAAATGACGACCGAAAATTTAAAACAAAATCCTTCCCAAATATATCTAGGTTAGAAAGACAAAATAGGACAACTGCTCACACGTTCAGAAATGATGAAAAACGCGCAGCCTGTTGTGAAATGAAGACATAAAGGCATCACGTGACAAATGTAAGCGCGCTCAAAAGAACAACCTTATTTAAAGTATAAACTTATATAGGTCACATTGCTTATTAAAGGCGTGTGGGCAGTGAGGTAGACACGAAAAAGACTTTCGTTACATTTTATTTGGTAGAATAGATATAATCAACAAATGTTTGTATACTATGGTGGACTATATAACTTGGGATTTGAAATTTTGGAAAAACAATCAACTCAGCAAGCGGCTTTCTTTAATTATTCTTCCCAGCATTTTCTCACCCTCGTTATATATTCCACCATAAAACTCGCACATACGTTGATTGTTTTTTAAGTAACTAGCGACTTTGAAGAATATGGACTCGGTATATGTGTGCTTCCGACTTTGATAAGAAACTCACTAAAATTAGGTAATGATACACTTATTTCATGCTTGTGTGTGCATTAATCAGAATTTCTTTTTTCAATGGTCTTTGTTCCAACCAAACAAAACCTACTGCCCTCAGCATTTGGCTTCAGGCATTAAATGGTCTATCACACACCTCAGGAAAACATTTCATAATATTAGCTTTACAAGCATTAAATAAGTATAGAGTATTCAATTCAAAATGTACCTGGCATATCTAATACTGAACTGCCATATAACAACAGTCCATAACGCTAATTGATATTCAACCTGAATGTACTTGAGCATAATTTAACTTGTATAACGTAGATACCAAGGCAATTTGAATATATAGCATTGAGAGACAAGAAAATAAAATATATTATACTCATTCGTCGGTAAATTATCATAATTTTTTGTGTACAAAATGAGTGATTAAGAGAACACACATACCACAAGCCATTGTATGACTATAGCATTGCGTGTTAGATGAACACACGTGCGGAATGCCTATAAATTGAACGTCATATTCATATTCATAGTACATCAATTTATGTAAAGTAATATATACAAGTCATTCAAGTTAAGTCATTTTCCTATTGGGTTTTATTTTTATTAACTTTTAAAAAATAAATATTTTTTCTTCGTTTTTCGTCCCATTTTCATCAGGTTTTGCACACAGCTGGAGAACTAATGAGCGTTTTTATTAAAAATATTGTCTTAATTAATTTTGTCTTTAATGTTGAGATAATTATAACTACAAACAATGTACGAGGCACTTTCGACGTTATTTGTATTGACACAATGTTAAAGTTTGCAGTAAAATTGTTTAACCTGATAAGATTACCATGCTTCAAACTCTAAGAAACGGGTGATTATATAAATATTGCCAAGACAAGTGCAAGATGATTTTACTTTCATTAAAATTGGAACATAAAAGTCAGGAAAATTTATTGAAAAAGGTAATTTGATATTGAATTCAATGGGAAAATATTTTAACATGAAAGACTTAAGGCACGTTATTTTAACAGCTACAAAAATGTAGAGATACTATCTAAATTTAAATTTAACTGGGGAACACAATTCAAGCAATAGTATCTTAGTTGTAATTTTAATATTATATTGAGCTATATCGGCTCACATCACGAGCGTTGACCCCTGTAAACATACATTGATTGCGGGTTTCCATATCTCCCACCTTCACCACCATTACCGATGTCATCATACTCCCCCGACCTTGGATAATTCCTATCCCTTTCGCCATAATCCCCGGATGTCGGATAACTCCTGCCCAGGTCATGGTGCCTCGACCCTGTATCAGAAGAGTCCCCATGTGGTCTTTCACTGGTATACTGTTCCATCCTACGGTCCTTGTCGAATCCCATTTTTGGATTTCCCGGCTCTCTGTGATTCCTTCTGTAAGCCTCCTTTTGCCTTTCTCTGTACGCATCACGTTTCGTACATCTGTGATGGGCGTAGTCACAGCACTCAACAAACAGCTGGATCAGTTCAAATATACTGAGTATTGACAGCCCTATCCACAGTCCAAGGGCTCCACCCACGTCCGACGCAAACTGGGCAGTCTGAAAGATAATACATATACTACTGGTGAGTTCGAAAACAATTATCCAGTAATTACTATAAATAGAATGAATAATAAAAATAAAATAAAATTACACTGATTACCATGAAACAAATTTAAGCTCGTGATAAACAGAAATGAAACCTGAGTGAATAAGTTGATATACAAATAGGCTCGAATGGGTTTTTTTCAAAATATTTTTTATAACAAGCCGCTACATCAAAAAAAAGTGATTTGAAAATGGTTTGCCGTTATTCTAGTGTTGAAATCGACGAGACCTCGGAAACATTAACAAACTAATATTGGCACTTGTTGTTATCCTGGTTCTAGGAGACGGAGGGCTAGCTAGAGACGACCTTAGCTGTCACAAGGACGTTTTACATTATACAAACAAACAACAGAGTATATCATATTACGATATAGAAAATTGGCGGAAACCATTTTCACTGTCCAACTCGCGTTTTCACGATCATTAAGTTTCCTTTACTCAGTAGTAACATACCTGTGTGTCACTTATAGGGTTGAATTGCTGTTTCTCAGGACTCTATCCTAAGTATCAGAATAGTATAAATATGTGTCCTGTCATAACGACACATACATGTTAACTAGGACTCATCAGTGTCTACCATAACTAAAATTAGTTCAAGGAGTCCGACAAACCTTTCTGAACGTGACGGAATGTATTACGAAGATTGTGGAGGAAAAGCTTTACTTTCACTACCTTAATTTATCAGCCGGTTATTTTGTGATGGCTTATAAATATTGGCAAAGCGAAAAGAAAGTACTACAACTACCTTTATATACACATATGAATCGTACATGGACATCGTGTCCCTTAAACGTATTTCAAATGTTAAAGGTATTGAATAAGCCGTATCTGTATTATGGATATTTCCCTTTAATTCTCTACCTGCTGACATACGATCTTACCTACATGGGTCAAGTATCAGAACTTCAGATGATAATACCTTTAAATAGATGTATGCCGATGTAAAATAATGTATTTTTGAAATCAACCATTCAGTTATAATATTGAGTCTTTCAAGCTGAAGCCCTGTTTGAATGATGGGATAAATTCTATCCTTTATCGATACTTTTCCGACTATGCCAGTAAAATTAGACATATTCGAGAGAAATATAAAAAGTGCATGAGCGAGATCCACTTAGCATGGAGGACTTTCTGAAAGAGGAAAGTCCATTGTTACTGACTCAAGGCCCCGGTTTCTCAAAGGTGGTTAGTGAAAAAATCAAATTGTAGCCATTTAGGAGCAAGGACATTAAAAGCAAAATAAATCCTCAAAATAAAACAATCTCCTTTGTTTATAGCAGTTGTATTATATAAGACTTTTTTATTTTCTTATTTTCAGATTTGAAATGTTTCTCTAACCACTGGTTAACTCTTGACTGCTGGTTAACCCTAACCACTAGTGAACTCTATCCACTAGCTAACTCTAACCACTGATTTACCCTAGCCAATGGTTAACTCTAACAACTGATTAACCCTAGCCAATGGCTAACTCTAACCACTGATTTACCCTAGCCAATGGTTAACTATAACCACTAATTAATCCTAACCACTGGTTAACCCTAGCCAATAGTTAACTCTAACCACTGACTAACCTTAACCATTGTTTTACCCTAGTCAATGGTTAACTCTACCCACTGACTAACTGTAACCACTGGTTAACTCTAGTCAATGGTCAACTCTAACCACTGGCTAGCCTTAACCACTGGTTAACCATAGTCAATGGTCAACTCTAACCACTGGCTAACCACAACCACTGGTTAACCCTAACCACTCGTTTACTCTAACAACTGGTTACTGTCTATCATTATTTGAACAGAATTTCAGTGAGTAGTGTTCTGGTCATACTCGCATACACATCTTTGACAAAAGCAATTGTACCGATATAGACCTATCCATAAGTGTATCGACCCTTAGATGCAAAATAGTGAAAGCAAAAGAATTAGCTATACGATGTACGTTATATTGATATGTTCAAAATGGAAAGATAAAGAATAACGTATTTGTCTTGAAAATTCGTGTGTGGATGGACAGAGTAAGAGTATATTATACACAAGGAAAAACAGTTACGATAAGCTGGAAAACAAGGTCAATACCTTGATATGAACTTGAAGTGAGAGAACTCCCAAAGAGCCTCAACAAAAGAATCGGCTGCTCCGAAAGGAAAACAATTTTCTGTACCATATATGTTACCGCCCATTATGTTTTACATAAAACCCAGGCACTTATGCAAACCACTGAGGACGCAATAATATGGTAACGACAACATAAGGAATCGAGGAGACGCCCAACAAAGGAAAAAACATCATGGCACACTAATCCAGAGACGAAACCATGTGTTCACCAAGCAACGATTGGTCCGGTCTTCGTTTGTCTTACTCGACCATTACCTTAAATGATCACACTATTTAATTAGCGATATTTATAACATCATAAGTTATTACCTCGATTTCAGGCGTTTCTTCCACCACTTCATAGTTAAGTGATTCATAAAATATATCCAGCTTCAGGAAGTTTAAACTGCAATAAAAACTCTTGAGTTTAGGTACGTATCACTGTATCATTCCAAAGATACGAACTTTTGTACAATATCTGTACCATTTGAAGTACCGTTTATTACGAAAGGGTAAATATGTCATTCAATAGCTTGTTCCATTTAATTACTTCCATTCTTTATAAACTTATTTGTCCACTTAAATTAAATGACACATTATTTTTTTTATTTCATCACAACCCACCTTAATTGGCGTTTGTCCAATGTTTTCAACTTCGCACACTCGGCCGCTAACCGAGGCTTTTCGCAGATGCTTTGTTCGAGAGCTACCTGCAATGCAATTTTAATATAAGTTGCTTGTGGCTACCTATAAAATACGTAAATGAAGGCACAGCAACTTATATATTGAGTGTAAATAATTACAAATACATTGGTATGGTATTTGGTATGGAACGGTAAGGAAAGGTCAGTTCAATTAAAGTATAACTATTAAAACATTGAATTGAGTATATCCAGCTAAACAGTTTCTTAAAATTTGAACTGAATGAGGAATTCAACAGATTTGTAATTCATCCCTATCATTTCACTCTTAATCAGCAGGTCGTACCGGTAAATCCAAGAATTTTCAAACAAAACTATACATAGAGATAATTTTGTTTTGCCATTTTCTAATAAAATATATTCAATACATTAGTAACCTTTTGATAGTGTTTAAGTCGAGCGTTTATGTTTAGTAGCCGCGCACTTAGGCTGTAATAATCATAGGGGATTTATTTTCTAATGAAATTTATATTGTAATTCTCTGCTCGTCGAACGATTTGGTGAGTTGGATAATTTATCTATCGGTTGAATATTCCGTTCACACTCTTCAAAGCTTAACCGAAGTGGAAAGACTGATTCAATTTGAGTAAATATGCTAAACTATCTGGAAGCGAAAAACTTACGGCGTAATCTTCGGAAGGCCATTGACGACTGCTGATAGACTTTACAAAGACTTGCTCGCTATACAGCAGTAAAAAAAAGCAGAAAGGGTGTGTTAGCGTTAACCTCCATAGGGTATGTTTATATCTCTCGGTTTTGGTTTTGTTGTTGAACTTTCTGGTTATTTCTTTCAAAGCCCTCAAAGCCAATATACATTACAGGCATTTACTTTACAATACCTGCCCGATAGAATGCAAGTTATAAACATTTTTGTCCCAGCAAACAAGGAGTCATAGAGGCTGTCTTAGACCCAAAACATGGGGGGGGGGGGGCTGTTTGCTTTTTGTATTATAAAGTGTACCTCTATGTGTCATTCACATAACATTTCATGATAGTTGATCACCTAGTTTTGAAAATAAGTCGGAATAGGGAATGAACAAGGTCAATAACTCTAAGGAAAATGTCGGAACCGAATTAGAATATCAGGTGCAAAACTACATGATGTACCAATGATGCATATACACTTTTGGTGAAGGCGGCTTATAAAGTAAGTAGGAATGGTCAGAAGAAGTTTACCTCAACGAACTAGCAGACACATAGATAAGATGATACATGTATACCCCACTAGGTTTGTTCTGAGGATATAGTTAACAACTCACCCACAGGGTTCATCACACGAGCACGAAATTGCTTTCTGAGCATATTCTTCTTCCACAGTTGCTTGACAAGTCTTTTCTGAAATTCAGATAATGGAAAAAAGAACAAGCAATAATACAAAGAAAACTAGTTGCTGTCTATATATGTTAAACATAAATAATGTATTATTATGTGTGTCCATCTTCAAAAATGCAGGGATTAGTGACAACGATAACAGTATAAAGGATATTAATTAAATTGATTAAATCAATTATTTGATAATGGTGACGATATATTACTGTTGACTGAATATCAGAAAATACTCAGGTGAGTAATCATTATTATACAATATATTGAGATACGTTACCTTCGACAGTTCTGCAGGGACGATTATCTAACAAATTGGCGATTACGAACAGCTCATCTTTGTCCTCGGAAAAGCAAGAACACGCGGAAAGGATAGCATTTTGTTCACAAATCACAAGGCAAGACTGAAATAGAAGTGAAATAGACTTGTGTATTTTAGAACAAACTATACACGAACCTACGTTTCTTTCGGTTTATTTATCCTGAACGCAATGTTGACTTAAGCCTTACTTTTATACTTGCATACTGAAGTTGTGATTTTTATGTAGCTAACGTCAATTGTATTTCGTTTTTGGGTCTCTATGCTTTTTGATGAAAATTTCAACTAAAGCAATTTTTGTCTAAGGAACATCTACTTCAATTCTAGAATGAAATAAATATATTTAACTACTTGAAAGATAAGATTGCTAACGTGATCATTTTGCATACGTTAATAGGCGTAGAATACACTGACATTACGGATCACGTTTTCACGGTAAGTAAGAAGAACTTGCGATATGCATACTTTATACCACCCTTATTCCGAACCTTCTTGTTTCTGTTGTGCCCATCCCTCCCGTCGATTGTTTTTTTCTCATATTCCTTGTGTCTGTTGAATCCACCCTTCACGTCTTCGTTCCACTTCAAATCTCCTTGCATCAGTTGTACTTACCCTCACCACTTTTGTTCCTCCACCACTCTCCTTATGTCTGTTACTAGTGTACCCCCTTTACTGGCTTTGTTCCACTCTATCCTCTTTCTATTTGTAATACCCCTCCCGGCCTAGCTCCTCTCTCACTCTCCTTATGTCTGTTACTAGTGTACCCCCTTTACTGGCTTTGTTCCACTCTATCCTCTTTCTATTTGTAATACCCCTCCCGGCCTAGCTCCTCTCTCACTCTCCTTATGTCTGTTACTAGTGTACCCTTTTTCCCGGCTTTGTTCCACTCTCTCCTCTTTCTATTTGTAATACCCTCCCCGGCCTAGCTCCACTCCTACTCTCCTTATGTCTGTTACTAGTGTACCCTTTTTCCCGGCTTCGTTCCACTCTCTCCTCTTTCTATTTGTAATCCCCTCCCCGGCCTAGCTCCACTCCCACTCTCCTTATGTCTGCTATACCCCCTATCCTGGCTTGGTTCCTCCCTATCCTCTTTCTATTTGTAAGACCCCTCCCGGCCTAGCTGCACTCCCACTCTCCTTATGGCTGTTATACCCCCTTTCCCGGCTTTGTTCCACTCTATCCTCTTTCTAATTGTAATACACCTCCCGCTTTAGCTCCACTCCCACTCTCCTTATGTCTGTTAGAACCCCTTTCCTGGCTTTGTTCCACTCTATCCTCTTTCTATTTGTAATACCCCTCCCGGCCTAGCTGCACTCCCACTCTCCTTATGTCTGTTAGAGCCCCTTTCCTGGCTTGGTTCCACTCTATCCTCTTTCTATTTGTAATCCCCCTCCCGGCCTAGCTCCACTCCCACTCTCCTTATGTGTGTTAAACCCCCTTTCCCGGCTTTGTTCCTCTCTATCCTTTTTTCTATTTGTAATACCCCTCCCCGGCCTAGCTCCCCTCCCACTCTCCTTATGTCTGTTAAACCCCCTTTCCCGGCTTTGTTCCTCTCTATCCTTTTTTCTATTTGTAATACCCCTCCCCGCCCTAGCTCCCCTCCCACTCTCCTTATGTCTGTTAAACCCCCTTTCCCGGCTTTGTTCCACTCTATCCTTTTTTCTATTTGTAATACCCCTCCCCGGCCTAGCTCCACTCCCACTCTATCCTTTTTTCTATTTGTAATCCCCCTCCCCGGCCTAGCTCCACTCCCACTCTATCCTTTTTTCTATTTGTAATACCCCTCCCCGGCCTAGCTCCACTCCCACTCTCCTTATGTCTGTTACTAGTGTACCCCCTTTCGCGGCTTTGTTCCACTCTATCCTCTTTCTTTTTGTAATACCCTCCCCGGCCTAGCTCAACTCCTACTCTCCTTATGTCTGTTACTAGTGTACCCCCTTTCCTGGCTTTGTTCCACTCTATCCCCTTTCTATTTGTAATACCCCTCCCGGCATAGCTCCACTCCCACTCTCCTTATGTCTGTTATACCCCCGTTTCCGGCTTTGTTCCACTCTATCCTGTTTCTATTTGTAATACCCCTCCCGGCCTAGCTCCACCCTTACTCTACTTATGTCTGTTACTAGTGTACCCCTTTCCTGGCTTTGTTCCACTCTATCCTCTTTCTATTTGGAATACCCCTCCCCGGCCTAGCTCCACTCCCTCTCTCCTTATGTCTGTTACTAGTGTTCCCCCTTCCCTGGCTTTGTTCCTCTCTATCCTCTTTCTTTTTGTAATACCCCTCCCCGGCCTAGTTCCACTCCCACTCTCCTTATGTCTGTTACTAGTGTCCCCCTTTCCTGGCTTTGTTCCACTATATCCTCTTTCTTTTTGTAATACCCTCCCCGGCTTAGCTCCTCTCCTACTCTCCTTATGTCTGTTACTAGTTTACCCCCTTTCCCGGCTTTGTTCCACTCTCTAGTGTACCCTTTTTCCCGGCTTTGTTCCACTCTCTCCTCTTTCTATTTGTAATACCCCTCCCCCTTTCTTTTTGTAATACCCCTCCCCGGCCTAGTTCCACTCCACTCCCACTCTCCTTATGTCTGTTTCTAGTGTACCCCCTTTCCCGGCTTTGTTCCACTTTATCCTCTTTCGTTTTGTAATACCCCTCCCCGGCCTAGCCCCACTCCCCCTCTCCTTATGTCTGTTAGAGCCCCTTTCCCGGCTTTGTTCCCCTCTATCCTCTTTCTATTTGTAATACCCCCCCCCGCCCTAGCTCCACTCCAAATCTGCTTATGTCTGTTAACCCCCCTTTCCTAGCTTGGTTCCACTCTATCCCCTTTCTATTTGTAATACTCCTCCCGGCCTAGCTCCTCTCCCACTCTCCTTATGTCTGTTAGACCCCCTTTCCTGGCTTGGTTCCACTCTATCCTCTTTGTATTTGTAATACCCCTCCCCAGCCTAGCTCCACTCCCACTCTCCTTTTGTCTGTTAAACCCCCTTTCCCGGCTTTGTTCCACTCTCTAGTGTACCCTTTTTCCCGGCTTTGTTCCACTCTCTCCTCTTTCTATTTGTAATACCCCTCCCCCTTTCTTTTTGTAATACCCCTCCCCGGCCTAGTTCCACTCCCACTCTCCTTTTGTCTGTTACACCCCCTTTCCCCGCTTTGTTCCACTCTATCCTCTTTCTATTCCTTATGTCTGTTACTAGTGTACCCCCTTTCGCGGCTTTGTTCCACTCTATCCTCTTTCTATTCCTTATGTCTGTTACTAGTGTACCCCTTTCCTGGCTTTGTTCCACTCTATCCTCTTTCTTTTTGTATTACCCTCCCCGGCTTAGCTCCACTCCCAATCTGCTTATGTCTGTTAAACCCCCTTTCCTAGCTTGGTTCCCCTCTATCCTCTTTCTATTTGTAATCCCCCTCCCGGCCTAGTTCCACTCCCACTCTCCTTATGTCTGTTACTAGTGTTCCCCCTTCCCTGGCTTTGTTCCTCTCTATCCTCTTTCTATTTGTAATCCCCCTCCCGGCCTAGCTCCACTCCTACTCTACTTATGTCTGTTACTAGTGTACCCCCTTTCCTGACTTTGTTCCACTCTATCCTCTTTCTATTTGGAATACCCCTCCCCGGCCTAGCTCCACTACCACTCTCCTTATGTCTGTTAAACCCCCTTTCCTACTCTCCTTATGTCTGTTAAACGCCCTTTCCCGGCTTTGTTCCACTCTAGCCCCTTTCTATTTGTAATACCCCTCCCGGCCTAGCTGCACTCCCCCTCTCCTTATGCCTGTTATACCCCCTTTCCTGGCTTGGTTCCAATCTATCCTCTTTCTATTTGTAATACCCTCCCCGGCCTAGCTCCACTCCTACTCTACTTATGTCTGTTACTAGTGTACCCCCTTTCGCGGCTTTGTTCCACTCTATCCTCTTTCTATTTGTAATGCCCCTCCCCGGCCTACCTCCACTCCCACTCCCCTTATGTCTGTTACTAGTGTACCCTTTTTCCCGGCTTTGTTCCACTCTCTCCTCTTTCTATTTGTAATACCCCTCCCTGGCCTAGCTCCACTCCCACTCTCCTAATGTCTGTTAAACCCCCTTTCCCGGCTTTGTTCCACTCTATCCTCTTTCTATTTGTAATACCCCTCCCCGCCCTAGCTCCACTCCAAATCTGCTTATGTCTGTTAAACCCCCTTTCCTAGCTTGGTTCCACTCTATCCTCTTTCTATTTGTAATACCCCTCCCCGACCTAGCTCCACTCCCACTCTCCTTATGTCTGTTAGAGGCCCTTTCCCGGCTTTGTTCCACTCTATCCCCTTTCTATTTGTAATACTCCTCCCGGCCTAGCTCCTCTCCCCCTCTCCTTATGTCTGTTACTAGTGTATCCCCTTTCCCGGCTTTGTTCCACTCTATCCTCTTTCTATTTGTAATACCCCGCCCCGCCCTAGCTCCACTCCAAATCTGCTTATGTCTGTTAAACCCCCTTTCCTAGCTTGGTTCCACTCTATCCTCTTTCTATTTGTAATACCCCTCCCGGCCTAGCTCCACTCCTACTCTCCTTATGTCTGTTATACCCCTTTCCCGGCTTTGTTCCACTCTATCCCCTTTCTATTTGTAATACTCCTCCCGGCCTAGCTCCTCTCCCACTCTCCTTATGTCTGTTACTAGTGTATCCCCTTTCCCGGCTTTGTTCCACTCTATCCTCTTTCTATTTGTAATACCCCTCCCCGGCCTAGTTCCACTCCCACTCTCCTTATGTCTGTTAGAGCCCATTTCCCGGCTTTGTTCCACTTTATCCTCTTTGAATTTGTAATACCCCTCCCCGGCCTAGCCCCACTCCCACTCTCCTTATGTCTGTTAGAGCCCCTTTCCCGGCTTTGTTCCACTCTATCCTCTTTCTATTTGTAATACCCCTCCCGGCCTAGCTCCACTCCCACTCTCCTTATGTCTGTTATACCCCCTTTCCTGGCTTGGTTCCACTCTATCCTCTTTCTATTTGTAATACCCCTCCCTGGCCTAGCTCCACTCCCACTCTCCTTATGTCTGTTAGAGCCCCTTTCCCGGCTTTGTTCCACTCTATCCTCTTTCTATTTGTAATACCCCTCCCCGCCCTAGCTCCACTCCCACTCTGCATATGTCTGTTAAACCCCCTTTCCTGGCTTGGTTCCACTCTATCCTTTTTCAATTTGTAATACCCCTCCCCGCCCTAGCTCCACTCCCACTCTGCTTATGTCTGTTATACCCCCTTTCCTGGCTTGGTTCCACTCTATCCTCTTTGTATTTGTAATACCCCTCCCCAGCCTAGCTCCACTCCCACTCTCCTTATGTCTGTTACTAGTGTACCCCCTTTCCCGGCTTTGTTCCACTCTATCCTCTTTCTATTTGCAATACCCCTCCCCGGCCTAGCTCCACTCCCACTCTCCTTATGTCTGTTCCTAGTGTACCCCCTTTCCCGGCTTTGTTCCACTCTATCCTCTTTCTATTTGCAATACCCCTCCCCGGCCTAGCTCCACTCCCACTCTTCTTATGTCTGTTATACCCCCTTTCCCGGCTTGGTTCCACTCTATCCTCTTTCTATTTGTAATACCCTTCCCCGGCCTAGCTTCACTCCCACTCTCCTTTTGTCTGTTAAACCCCCTTGCCCGGCTTTGTTCCACTCTATCCTCTTTCTATTTGTAATTCCCCTCCCCGGCCTAGCTCCACTCCCACTCTCCTTATGTCTGTTACACCCCCTTTCCTGGCTTGGTTCCACTCTATCCTCTTTGTATTTGTAATACCCCTCCCCCCTTATGTCTGTTACTAGTGTACCCCCTTTCCCGGCTTTGTTCCACTCTATCCTCTTTCTATTTGTAATTCCCCTCCCCGGCCTAGTTCCACTCTATCCTCTTTCTATTTGTAATACCCTTCCCCGGCCTAGCTCCACTCCCACTCTCCTTTTGTCTGTTAAACCCCCTTTCCCGGCTTTGTTCCACTCTATCCTCTTTCTATTTGTAATCCCCTTCCCCGGCCTAGCTCCACTCCCACTCTCTTTATGTCTGTTAAACCCCCTTTCCTCGCTTTGTTCCACTCTATCCTCTTTCTATTATACCCCTTTCCCGGCTTTGTTCCACTCTATCCTCTTTCTATTTGTAATTCCCCTCCCCGGCCTAGCTCCACTCCCACTCTCCTTTTGTCTGTTAAACCCACTTTCCCGGCTTTGTTCCACTCTATGCTCTTTCTATTTGTAATACCCCTCCCCGGCCTAGTTCCACTCCCACTCTCCTTATGTCTGTTAGAGCCCCTTTTCCTTTCTTGGTTCCACTCTATCCTCTTTGTATTTGTAATACCCCTCCCCGCCCTAGCTCCACTCCCACTCTCTTAATGTCTGTTGTATTAAGTGTTCTCGCTGAAGTGTCACTTCCATCCTTATTAAATTTGCTGTATCCACGACCGACCCTACTTCTGACACCACTCTCCATCTAAATAACATGTGTTTCTAAACCAGTCTCATTCTGCTTCCAATGCCATTTTACCTATGTCTATTGTACAGTATCCTTCCTCTCTCATTTCTATTCATTGCCACTCTTCTCCTAAGTGTCTTAACCTCATTTTTTCCCACCTAACATATGTGTTTTCTTTAAATTGTCCTCTGTTTATCATCTACAGACCTATATAACTTTCCCTGGAGGGGCTCTCGCATTTGCCTTGGTCTACCTTCTAAGGCCGGAGTCTCTACCCCTATAGGATATGGGCTGTGTCCTGCTTTGCCTGTCCATAGGAACACATAGGGAGTGTAACACAGGCAGTTCTCTGTAGAGATTCCACATCTTACTTTAATTCATACCATCATTATCAAACTTCAGCCCTGTATGCTCTCCTCATCCTTATTCCACTTCTATTCATGCTGTTTGTGTTTGTTGCAAACACACCCCTTACCCACCCTACTTCTCCTTTGAAAAACATCTACACCCACCTGTGAGTACATAGAAGACAATATTTTACCTGTCGGTTGTAAGTCTGGTTGTACATTGCCTTGAAATCCGCACCTAAATTACATTTCCCGTAGGGAGTTGGTTGACGAGTTATATCCACCTAAATTAAAATATGATATCATACCATCGTGTTTAAGATAGTAAATGACTGTTTTAACAATAGATTTAGAAACGATTTCTTTTCATCAATAACATTATTAGTATAGTATAGATATTGATTCAATTCATATACGAATGTATTGCATTTGGATGACAATATTGTGATCGGCAAAATGATTATAATACAAAATGAACAGAACCTACCAATTTTAGACCGATTGATGTTTCAAAAGATGTAGATGCGTAAAAGCCGTTATCTGCAGGAAAGGGAATTGTGTCTTTCTGGTGAACGGTGATCCTTGCGCCGTAACCCTGTGTTATTCCATGTATATATTCCTCATTCTGCATATACAGGATCACAGACAGACCTGTAAACATCACACACCATAGCGTAAATAAACATAGATCCTTTAAAAAAATCCATTTTGATGAGATTAATGAAACAAGTCTTAGATAGTTCTTTTTTATCCTTTATTTGTTTATTTATTTTTGTTTTTTATTTTTTTACTTTTTGATTGTTTCGTTTCTTGAAAATTGAACTAATTGACGAGTTTCATGAATCTCATATGGAAATTGAAGCGAATTTAAGATAATTTTATAACATAATAAAAACTGTTTGTAAATATGATGAAGCAAAAGCTTTTCCAGATATTTCCTTTAGTCCAAAATTCCGCCATCTTGGTTTCATATTTATTGTTTCTTTTGTGCCTTTTAACGACATTTAATTATCATTCGAAAACATCACAATGGGTAATATTTCATGCGTTTATGCGCAAAATATTAAATGCATGTATTCACTGAATAATATGGTAATTATGTAATAAATATATCATGATGGTTTTTTTAAGCTAACAGCAGTAACACGTAGCAAATTTCTCCTAGAAAAGTTTCCATCTAAAACGAGCTAATATACCACATAAAATAACTACTGCGATAACAAGTTAGACTTTTCTGTGATTATGCATTAAGTAAGACTTTTCTGTGGTGATGTGACAAGTTAGGCGTTTCTTTGATGATGTGACAAGTAAGGCGTTTCTGTGATGATATGACAAGTTAGACTTTTCTGTGATGATGCACCAAGTCAGGCGTTTCCGTGATGGTGCACCAAGTTAGGCGTTTTTTTGATGATGTGACAAGTTGCACGTGTCTGTGGTGATGCACCAAGTCAGGCGTTTCTGTGATGGTGCACCAAGTTAGGCGATTTGTTGATGATGTGACAAGTTACACGTTTCTGTTGTGATGCACCAAGTCAGGCGTTTCTTTGATGATGCACCAAGTCAGGCGTTTCTTTGATGATGCACCAAGTTAGGCGTTTCTGTGATGATCCACCAAGTTAGGCGTTTCTGTGATGATATGACAAATAAGGCGTTTCTGTGGTGATGTGACAAGTAAGGCGATTCTGTGATGAACTGACAAGCTAGACGTTTCTGAGGTGATGTAACAAGTTAGACGTTTCTGTGATGATATGACAAGTAAGACGTTTCTGTGGTGATATGACAGGTTAAACGTGTCTGTGGTGATGTAACAAGTAATGTGTTTCTGTGGTGATGTGACAAGTTAGACGTTTCTTTGGTGATGTAACAAGTTAGACGTTTCTTTGGTCATGTAACAAGTGAGACGTTTCTGTGGTGATGTAACAAGTTACGTCTCTGTGGTGATATAACAAGTTAGACGTTTTTGTGGTGATGTAACAAGTTAGACGTTTCTGTGGTGATGTAACAAGATAGACGTTTCTTTGGTGATGTAACAAGTTAGACGTTACTGCAGTAATGTAACAAGTTCGACGTTTTGTGATGATTTGACAAGTTAGACGTTTTTGTGATGATTTGACAAGTTAGACGGATTTTTTGTGATTTAACAACAACTGGTTTATACTTATGACCACGTGATAAAGCTAGATGTTTTTATGAGTATAAATAGATATTTATGTTATTATGTGACAAAATAGTCATTTTGTGTTGTGACATGAAAAAAATCAATGACATGAGACAACGACAAATTTTGCAATGAAACAAGTTGATATATATGTATTATTGCGACAAACTAGACATGTTATCAGGTAATGATAATGTTACAACTGTTAATCTCCGAATCTGTTAACGTAAGGAATGTGTTTGTTTTTAATATGTCAGTGGCTGACATATGAACAGCCTTAAATTGTTTTAAACTCAGTTGTGTCCGGTGTGACCCTAACCGTATTCTGGACCAGGACTAGTGGCAACGAAGTTTTCGGCCTCGAGTGTGAAGCAGTTGCCATATTCGGCAGTTTGGTACCGTGTGAAGTTCCTGAAATGAGATACAAACACAGACAATAAAAATCGTTATCAATGTAAATTATAATTAACACAACAAAATCGAACATAGGGTCAGATGGGAAACATTGATAAGTCGTCTTTTGCTGTCGTAATTATATGATGTAATACTACAGTGAATAAACGACAAATACAGCAAATACAACGCAACAGGTTGTGTCCCCCGTCCTGGACATACCGTTCGTTTAAGTAGTAGTTTCTATTCCCTTTTTAATATTCAGCATTAGGGAACTGGCAACAACTTATTTACTCGTTGTCAGTAAAATGGGACCGGGCGGGATACCGGTTGCTTGCCTTCGGCATGGAATTTCAGTAAGGTAACACTCTAAAGTCGGCATCAGATCCGCGCTTTAAAAGTAGCAATTATATCTTTGCAGTTGTAGCATAGAAATATGTTATACTGCAACTGCAAGAAGGGAATAAACTTAATTAACAAGATGATTGCTGTCAATCGAGTCCGCAAGACAAGCGGAATATATTGTATCCAAAGCAATAATTTTCTTTCATATTCACTGATACACATTTTACAAGCGTAATTTGGCGGCATTACTTTGATATTTTACAACCTTTCTTTATAGTCAAAAGAAATGTGCCATAATGCAAACTCACGAGGAGGAACAATCTCGACCGTCAAATGCACAGGAAAGCAGCATGTCGGAAAGGAGGTGTCCAGACTGGAATCGTTTTGATCTAAAATTGGAAAAAAAAGGCATATTGATATTGATATATTAAATATATCCAAAACCCCAATTAGCATAATATAATGTCATATTAAAACTCTCAGTTTAAAATATGCCATGTATATAAAATCAAGGAATAATAATATCTCTGCAAAATTTTACGTCATCTGTGTATGAAATAAATTTTAAAACGTAAAAACTGCAAAATAACCTGGTTATTGAAAAAAGAATGCCTCATTGTCGCCTTCGGTTGATACAAATCCAACCCAAATAAGCCTGGCATTTTAAGACGTCTTGCAAACAAGAGAGTTTTTTGTGTACTTTGTTTGCGTACTTTGTTTGCATAATTCGTTTGTGAACTTTGTTTGTGTACTTTGTGTGTGTACTTTGTTTGTGAACTTTGTTTGTGTTTTTTGATCGTGTACTTTGTTTGTGAACTTTGTGTGTGAACTTTGTTTGTGTTCTTTGATCGTGTCCTTTGTTTGCGAACTTTGTTTTGTTTGTGTACATTGCTTGTGTACTTTGTGAACTTTGTTTTTGAACTTTGTTTGTACTTTGTTTGTGAACTTTATTTGGTTATTTTTTTGTGAACTTTTAACCTGTCACTTAAACTCAAATACCACTTCATTTTACAAAGAGGGATAGATCATTGTTGTATTGAGGAACATTAAGTCCGTTATTTTGTGTTTGTGACAGTAGTACAACGAATTTCTTCAGAACACATTCCTTACCTCGTGTTATCCATGTAGAGACTCTGAAAAATTGAACTTATTTGTTTTAATTTATTTTTAGGTGGTTTGTTGCTATTAGATGGTAGGTCGATTGACTCTTCGTATCCACTTGAATTCACTCCCGTGATTCCACCTGAAAATCGTTTTTTTCTTCGACCGTTCTGTAAGAAAGAAAAAAAGTTTTTCACAGCGACTAACTAGAAAGGGCAAATGTGTCATAAAAACTTCATGAAATATCAGGTATAACGCATGGAAGTGTTCTACTTGTGCGACTGTTCCAAGATTAAGTAGAAATGAGAGATTGTACATGAAAGGTTTTTGTAAGTGGGAAATATGCAGAAAGTTGATAGGATGGTTGTTAACAACTTAATGCTGACAAAATCGAAACATACATATAGTTGTATAGTATACAAGACAATGAAGAAACGGCGTCAATTTCTTCAAATCATATTATCTCCCCGAGAACCTGACTAAATGATTAAAAAATGATGAATGAATAAATGGGTATATAAATAAAGAGTAACTGAAAAATGAATCAATTAATAAATATAAACAAATAGATTTAAATAGATATATAGATAAATAATTAAATATATTTTAAAATAATAAATTAATAAATAAATAAATGACAAATAAGGTAAATGTTTAAAAGTTACAGTTCGAAACTAGAACTGTATTTATTGAGATTCAAAACAGGAAACAGAAATTGTGAACTTGTAAATTATTGAATATTTCAAAAATAATTTTAACGACGGTTATGTTGCTTTGAACATTCGAGATCAGAAATATACGTTTACTTACGTTAGGTGTAATAGCTTGGTCTATCTGAGTCACAAACTGCTGCAGCCTGTTATCCATAAGACTAAGTCCTGACCTCTTCAGTGCATTGCTGTTACAGATAGTGATGGCAGGCATTTCTAGGTTACTGAAACCTAGTGACAGTTTAGTGAGCACTGGCCATGCGAAGAACTGATCAAAAAGAAAGTATAGATGGAAGATCATTCCTCCTATGGCTCCGAGTAACAGAATCACCCACACGATTTTGGCACCAAGAAGTCTGGCACTGTTTATGTACCCTATTCCCTGAAGAGAAGTCTTTTCCGAGAATCTTTCACACAATCGTCGGAACGACTTCCGTTTCCCTGTCGAATCCAGGGACGCATTGCTTCCGTCCATGTTCATTCTCTTCACCTGTAAGAACAAAATCAATGTTAGCTGTGCACATTCTTATAGCTGCAATACATACATCGAACCATAAATTATCGATGTTATTGTTTCTGCAGTATAAAACCAATATCATATCACATTGTAACATAGCGTATCTGTGTTAAATATACGTAGTACAAAACACATTTTGTGTTTACTGTATACTACTAGTGTAATAATATATCGTACCAAACATTATTTGTTTCTACTGTATAACACCAGCGTTATATCGTACCAAACATAATTTGATTTTACTGTATAATACCTCCGACATACTACATCGTACCAAACATTCTAATCAATAAACAATAGATTCTAATCTAACATCAGTTAGAGTGTGATACTATATCGTGCAAAACATATTTGTTTTTATTGTATAATACCCGTGTTATATCATATCGTACCAAACATTGTTTGTTTTTATTGTATAATACCCGTGCTCTATCATATCGTACCAAACATTGTTTGTTTCTAGTGTATAGTAACTTTACATAAATCGTAAATGCCTTCTTTAGAACCTACTACAACATCATTCTGCCTATTCATGTAGGCTACATTTACGTAGCGTGTTTATCATCAGTTTACGCTATCGATCCAGGTAATATATGACCTTCTATAATGTGTTTTACGCTAATGGCTATCGTTCCCGGTTATTGACGACGTTCTATGTCATATCACAACTACGGTATATTAATGATAGCATGCATCATACTTCAATCCATTAGCAAAGAGTATAACTTTATTTGACGTACAATTTACTATCCACCTGAAAAACAACCTGATGGGTTGGTCAGGAAAAATCTATTTTCATAACGATTTCTGCGTTATGTAAACATTGAAGGTCGTTCAATCAAATCGATTGTTTAAGCGGTGTGACCGTGTTGACTTTGCTAAAGGATACGTGCTTGATTTTACACCAATACAAGTAATTGTTGTCTGATGTCTAGGTGTTTCCGATCAATATATTCAGCCCGGTCACTGTGTTAAACGTCAAAACAATTATCAGTATATAATGTTTTTAATATTCGTAGTGGTTGTCATTACATTATTGTTATAGTAAATATTCCCAATGAAGAACCAAGTGTCAGCATTCTAAAACATTAATTACCGAGACGTTCCCTAGGTTACGGAAAAGATATAATTCACATCAGATAACCGTTGGTGCCGAGACGTCCCCTACTTCACAAACAGGTAATACACCGTCACATTGTTCATTCATACACTAGACGGCATCTTATAGTATTTTTCACTTGTCAAAGGTATATTTTCACTATTCGTCGGCATACTCCTATTTTATCAAACGGATATATTCCAAATTGTCATAATAGCATTCCAGTTGATCGTACTCGTAATTCCTCTTATCATTCTCATATCTCCACCAGTCAAGAAGCATATATAGATTTTTCGCACGCATATAACCACGAGTCGAAAATTATTTTATTCATATGTTCTTACACTTGTATTTGTGCTCCTGAGACTACTCGAGACTGTAGATAAATGAGGCTCAATTTTAAAACTTGACATACATAAATTCATATTTAAGGTGATATACTGTTATATCTTGGGGTTTTTTCCCCTGAAACAACACTTACTGAGAAATATACTTGTAAGTGAATGCAAACTTCCCCCTAAATTCGCTGATTTTGTTATATGTGCTTGGTAGACCTGGATATACTGGGCATGACATGTGTTTAACAGACCGTGATATGTTCAATAAAAAATCTGATCGACAGACATCGAACATGAATTGACCTCTGACAAAACCGTAGGCCTCATTTATTATGTATGTAACTTAGTGTGTGAAAGTTCATTGAATAGCATAGTTATTTTGGGGAGCTTAAGTTATTCCCCCTAAACATTTGAGCTGTTTGAACTTTTATCCCATTCCAGAACTTGTATTAATGACCTAGATTGACCATGTTGAATATAGTCCTCTCTTTACAGTTCAAACTGTGCTAATTTTATCAATGTTCATAATCTAACCCGGGAATGATAAACGTCATGTGTGTTTTTATAATGATTATATATATAGCCTGTTTTAAAATTGATATAGCATTCATTGAAGTCATTAAAAAGAACTAATAACCTGTTCGTCACATTTCTTTTAAGACAACAGACAAAATAGATTTGTGTATGTTGTTATCAATCATTTCATGTCGTTTACCCTTAGTATAAAAATCCCCATAAAAGACCAGGAGCTATATTGTGAATAAATCTACATACCAACGACCTAATTATAGTTGTTTTTATTAGAATGTGTAAAAGGAAAACACTTACAAGTAGTTTCAGTAGTATATCAATCTGCCCTCTGATATTCCGAGAGGTACTTCCCTAAATGTATGACAGTGGAGAAAAGAAAACGTTGATTACAAGAGCCGAATACGTTTGTAGACGATATATTTATTTCCATGGTCAAGCAATGATCTATTATGACAACTGTGATGATGTATTTTATGCTTCAGATTTTCTACTTGAACATCATTGATGAGGACAGTTAATTTTGTCAACATTTTATTGGAGAAGGGCCAACTAATATGGCATTTGTATTGTCTATGCATAATGCGCAACATATTTTAAGCTGGTAATGTTGCTATTTTTTCATAACTTTCCGGCTGTTTGTGTCACTGTGACCTCAGTATGGATATACAACGGTAAATGTTTAGCAGCTGGGGATAAATAATAACATTCTGAAAAGCATTTATGACTCTAGGCTTGACCTAAGTGGAATGTGACTGACTGACTGAGCGGTAAAGAGTCACTTTGAAAACGGTCTTTAATATAACTTATAGAAAATTCAGGGCGTCTGTTGAGCAACTGTAAAATTATTCTAGTTTTCTAATATGTTATTTTCATTTGTTATTCAAATGTTATACACCAGACATACTTTCAATATTGATTTCATCACTCCATTCATCTAAACAATTATTGTCTAAAATAATGAAATTAGTTTTAAAATGATAAAAACGTGTTTTTCTAGTCTTCTTTTCTTTAGCAGATACAACAGTTACAACCGAGATCAGTATATATCCTAGCATGCCCCTTTTCCTCTTGTTTCAAAAATGAATGCTACATGTATATGCGTTTTTTTTACAAATATTAGGAAATATTTTTTGTATAAATGCTAGATTTATAAATGAACTCAGATAATGTGGCATTGTATAACATAAAGTAGTTTGATATACACACGTTATACGGACAGGTTATATGAAGTTAACATATTTATCTAAGTTACACGACTAGAAGTGTCGTAAGTAAGATACTATAACAATATGTAACCAGCACTTAACTATGATATGTGTGTTTTTTTCATGGTTGCAACCATCTAAGTTCAGTCCGGAATGCCTCTTCACAGCTAGGACAGGGCAATTAAGTGTCGCCTGTCCTAGGTACGAACATAAGATAATCTGTCATTTTGTAACGGTAAGTTTGGTTGAAAAAAACCTGTTATAATGTCGATGGACTATTCTTACTAGGATAGCCAACCTTAATGTCTTATTAAAGACTAGATTAAAGTTACTGTGCATTCTTTCAATAACTTGAATCAAGATAAAATATATCCAAAATGCATGTCTGTGTTCTCATATTTAGTTGTGTCTGTAAATATGACTCGTAATGGGATGGTAATCAAGAGTGCCAATACCGTCATTTTGGGAGCTTGTTGAACCACAAAAATTACTAATTACTGTAGCATCTGTAACATTTTATCATATGTTTAGAAGAAAATTATCAATATTTGCATAATAATGTATACTCATTTGAGCTGTGGTAATGTTACTCCAATTTTGGCATACGGTATCTATTACCAAATTCTAAGTGTACAATCACCTGTGTGTGTAATGTTCATCTTTCAAGATACAAGATGGTCGACTCTCCTCGGGGAGTTTTTAGTCCCAAAAGTTTGCTGTGATCTCGATTGTTGCCACAGTTGGTTTAAACTTTGTTTTATTCAAATTTTGTTTGACAATACATCGAAATACAAATGATACATTTTATAGAACAGAAAAGGAAACAAAAACAAGTTTCATGACACTTATGAAAATTTGTTACCTGCTTAATAATCAACTTGTCAACGCTAGCTACAGGAATGAAGTAATATGTACAACAGAACAAATACGGGAAATTTGAGGAGTGGCAAGGTTCATCATATACACACTTTACAAATTATTTGATTTGAAATTAACTAGTACTCCTCTATTTTTTAAATTCATAAATCAATGGGTTTTACGGTGCGTAAAACCCGTTCAGTTATGAATTTAAAAAATAGAGTTTTTTTGACTGTTAAACAGTAGTTTAGACAATTTGGTTGTCCAACAATTTAGCCTGAAGTATCACTGACGAGCCCTTGAAGAACGTTAGAGCTTTATATGATGCAGTGTAATTAGTTTTAGCATACTGTATCTATAACTATTTTTTTAAAGATGTAATCACCTGTTCGTGTGCTACTTGCATCTTTCTTGTATCGCAGATTACATTTTTTAAAACTTGGATGACGTTTGTAATAGCAATAACTTTATACGCTTTCTACATCATGCAGTCTAGAAATACAATCGTGATCAGATGTAGTAACATTTGCATTTTGCTAATATAATAGTAAACAACAGCAAAACAACTTTGGGCCCGTATTCGTGAAACCGTTATCATGCTCAAGCTTGGGTTCTGTGCTAAAACTAACTTTCTTGTACATACCTCGCTTAAATCATGTCAAACGATCAGTGAATATTGATTTGTCTAATTCATATATAACGGAACACAAATTCCATGTTTGAGTTTCATGAATACGGGTCTTGATGTGCCTGGCATGTAAAACGCTATATTTATATTTGAACTCAAAAGAATACCTCTGTTCAGACTACACTTTGACAAATAGCAGGTCTCATTTCTTTGTCCTATGAGCATGTTGTAAAAGTAAGTAAAATCGCTTGTGTATGTCCCGGTTTACATACCGTATAGGGTTAGCTCTACATCACGACACCTGTGTAATTATATTCGCCACATAACGTCGTCGATTTGGGTCATAACCTTACTCCCAATACTGATTCTCTTACTGGAGTGATACATGTCGTATCGGTTACTATTCTGGCTTAGGATGTTCTATTTTAAGCAGAAACTGAGATACGTTTTAAAACTGGTTTGTAAACAAAAGAAAGACAAAAACTGACATAAAAACAAAACAAAACAAAAGCAGACAAACCATTATCGCGTCATTGATGATTAATAAGACAACCCCACCTGTACGGAGTCATAACTGTTAACACCGTTACTGTGCACATAGGTTTGTGTACATGTTTAGAAGGCTATATCAGGATATTATTATTTACCTTCTCACACACTGATATAAGCTGTAAATATTTCGCCTTGTACATGTCTATTATTCACAAGCATTCATTAAGAATGAAATGTAATATTTATCAAGAAAACGAAATCGAGTTGAACAGTAAATAAATTAGAGACACATAATTGACATTGAGTATTAATCGGTAAATACTCACCCTTGTAAGAATGACGTGTTTGTTGTGTTATCGTCAATCATGTGTTTCTATCACTTACATGTGGATGTTATGAACTCCATGCCGTGACGACATGTGAACGACGATGACTGCACACTGTATGTACGGTACAATGAGACGCCAGTAAACCGTGCCAGTTGAACTCATACAAATGAGGCTGTCACTAAACGTATCTAGAAGGACACACCTTTCCTATGACATTGTGTGAGTTACTCTCGCATTCAGACGTACTTCATATCGTGATCGGAAGCACAGAAACAAAAGATTCATGGCCTTTAAATAGCTCATCGAGTATGTGTTTTTTTTACATTTTAAATATATCATAGTCTTTGTATATCAAACAAGTACAGTAGCTTTATACTGAGACCAGACAAAGCTTTTGTAATGAGAGTCCTTGAATGTATCTCTGTATATGGGGCTGGTCTAACTTCCCACGGTAAGTAGCCATACTTTTTATTTATATACCATTGTGTTTGTTCAGATATCCTTTCAACCAACATTTAGTAATCCCCCTCCCCCCTCCCCAGTTGGGTCCTCCGTTGGCCACAAGATACTCCAGACTAAATAAAGATAAAATCATCACGTACTCAAGTAGATAGATTTTAAAGATTTACCTGCATTTCCCCTAGTGGGATCCGATCCTCTACTCTCAGAAGGCCTAACTCATCTTATACAAGGTTGATTCCCTATGACCAAAGGACTATCCGAACTTAATTGCTCGTAAAAGAAGAACCGATTTTTAAGGATTTAACCATATCGCCCCTGTAAGAGCCCCACTGTCGAGGGTGACACACACTCGTTTATAAAACGATCATATACAGTGACTAAAAATTCCTTTTATCCTTACTTTAGGATTAGGTTATTAAAGTTAACCTATATTCCCCGATGAACCAGGTAGGCGGAAACATAAATATTTTTTGAGTCACACTGAGATTCGTGTCATGTTTAAACCTAAAATAGAATACATGCGTAGCCAATTACCAATGATGGTTTGTACGTAGTACAGTTGAGCTTTAAAAAGAGGTTTGTTTACATAGAATAATACAAGTCATTGCACACGCACATTATATAATACATATTCAATGTATGTGTTGATAAAGGAACATAACATCTTTATCATATATAAAGTAATCAGATGGCGCTTTTCGAACATTACGTTATATATCAGGACAAAGGTAACGCTTGATACATATTCGTGTGTGCATGCAAGTTCCCTTGCATGCGTTGTGTGTAGATCTAGTTATAGGCTCGTGCGATTGTGTGTGTGTATCCTTTGTGTCTTAATATTTCTGGTATGTCTATATTTGATAATCATATTTCATTGGCAAAAGTAATCAATGCTGTAATCTTCACATTAATAAATATAAGTCAATATCATCACGCGTGTCTGTTTAACGAGACAAGTTATTCGTCAAAACTGCCTCAGTAATACTAAATCAATAGCCCCGCATCAGTTTTAGTCAATAACAGACTAAAAAATATATCAATAATTAAATAAGTGTGACAACATCAGCAGGTTCAGAATACACGATTTCAGAACTTTAGTTAGGCAAATTGAAGGTAGGTCTGAGTGCAATGAAGCGCAAAGCAGGTTCTTACAACGATGGTATTCAAGTGATCTTTTTAATGTTTACTTTTAAATGGATGTGTATATACGTATCCTTCAACGATATTATCAAAATTTTACTTTCTACACATTCAGTGTACGTATCAAAGCTTAACAAAGGGACCAGTCGGTGTTGAAACGTTGCGACATTTTTATTTAGTACCTTGTTTGTGTAGAAAGTAAAACTTTGATATGAAATATTTCCAAACTGATGAATCGTATAGAAGGTGTATTTCAACGTTTCTACGCCCTTACGCCACATACAATAAAAAGATTTAAAAAAATACTTTATATTAAAGAATAGTCATCTTCTGAGTATCAATATAAGCTGTGTCAGCCATATCATAAAAGGTGTCATCAATTTTCATGCATTAGTTACCAAGGTGCACCTTGTCAAATTACGTCATCAGTTTAAAGGGGCTATTTAGTCAAATGACAATCAGAAAATCGAGCCAATACTGAAAGTATATATCTTCTAACGAAAGTTTACGTAGTTTGTACTGACATAACCTGAAGCCAACGTCCAGTGTTGTCAGTTTCACCTTTTGGGAAAGCGGTGATAAAAATGGGTACGACAGAAGTAGCGCAATATCGATCATGTACCTCACTACGCTGTCGATCGACAACACGGTGTCAGTTATGAGTCTGAGTTCACACATAACACAGTCTTGAAACTTGTAACACATGTACATCGCAAGTAAGAATTATAAGTATCATAATATATACCTCTAATCAGATGTTTCTGTTCACATTTGGATTTGAATAAAAACGAACAGGTTCAATTAGACGCATTGAGAGGGTGTCGCAAGGGGATCAATAGGTTTGAAATCTTTTATAACGATATTTTAGATCCTGTTGGAAGATGATTTTGCTTCAGAAATTTTTAAGTTTTACAGTAATTATGTTTTCGTTATCAATGAGGTAACGTATAGTGATATGATCAACTTTATACAATCTTTCGTCGGTGAATCTGTCACTCATATTTTGCATTTCTGTAAGAACATGGGAACATCACGTCTCCGGTAAAGTTGGTTTCATGATTAAACTGATTTCAATAAATATAGTATGACTAATAATTCGAATGGGTTTTAATAGCTTTATTCATATCGTATTATGCATTGACATAATTAGATTACGGTCATTACATTAGAAAATTTAGCTGCATGAAACTTGTATATACGTAATATTGTCCTCAATTGGACATTTAAAACAAACTACCTGACAATTAAACAAAGCTTAAATAAATTAGTACACTCATGGGAGTGAATACAGTATTAAATATAGGTCAATATTTCGTAATGTACCATACAAAGCTCTAGTATAAACATTTAATAATACATTGTTAATAATACTTAGCAAACTTGCTCCTTAAAACAAAACCATTTTCCTCATTTCAGCTGCTTTGTGATTAATCAATGAAAACGTAAACATCTTTCTTCGTAATTAATCAATGAAAACGTAAACATCTTTCTTCGTAATGACATTTAGTCACAACTGCATTGCTTGTTAATTACACAAGTTGTAATGCAGTTGAAAACGTCAAAAATTGAAAACTTGCAGTTCAAACTCCGTTCTTCGCACTCATGTTAACGGTTGTCCATCATTTTGTTTTATTTTATGATTCTAGTACTGATACCGTGCTGTTGCAAATCTTCCGTCATATAGATAATCTTTGGCAAATTGCGGCTGATTAAAATTCAGGGCACTAGGCGCCTGCACATTGGATTTCCGGTCCCCCAGTGGGAGATCCGGTTTGTCATTACTGTCCATATTGCCCATGTGTTTACACTTGTATATCCCATACTGACACAGCTCCACAATGAGTTGAAAAACCTCGAACATACTCAGAATAGACAGTCCTATCCAAAGGCCAACGGCTCCCCCCACATCCGACGCAAACTGGGCAGTCTACAATACAAGTGTCTACATTTAATCACAATAAACTCATTCGGGAAACATATTTTATTCTCGAAAAATTATAATATTCAACGAGACACAATCTTAATTGATATCTGCTACATTTCCTTAAACGGCAGGAGAAGGTTAGTAATGCAATGAAAATATGAAATATTAAAAAGAATGCTTGGTGACGAGGTTATAATTATAAGGGTGGCTGACATGTAGACCCGTTAAACCCCTAAATGAAATTCAATGAGAACTTCTCTTTACCTCAATTTCCGGGTCCTCATTTATCTCTTCGTGGTTCAGGTCCTGGTAATACACCACTATCTTCAAGAAGTTTAAACTAAAGCGGAAATAAGGCATGATTATTAATCATTTAAAATAGGAAACGATAGTTTGAAATTTAAAAAAAAAAATGTTTTCTGTTAATTTTGTCCTTATACATTAAAATTGTGTTATATTATGTTTTATGAGAAGAAACATTTTTACACATGCTAAAATCTAAACTTATGTTATATTAAAGATTCACTCACCTGATTTTGCGATCGTCCGCTTTTGAAATCAGATCTTTACATTGTTGTGGCCTTCTCTGACACACCCCTCTTAACAATGTTTCCTGAAACAAACAAATAGTTTTATTTTAGCTCATTATCATTAATATGATAGCCACCGGTATATTTACTATTACCAATCTTCTTTTTTCATATTTGTTTTATTTTCAGATGTTTTTTTCAATACAGTATAGTCTTACATATTTCTGTATGCATACCCCATTCGATTCAATCAAATATCTTTCATACCAAAACAGAGTTATATTATGTATAATGATACTCGCGCTTGATATGTATCATCAGTAATATAATGCAACCTATTGATATATGACATGCATGGTATATATAAAGATGTATACTGCTTTGATATAAGGAGAAAAAATGAAAACAAAGAAAAATGAAAAACAAAAAGTCAAAAGAAGAAGGAAGCATTGAGGCAGAAAGAAAAGAAAAAAATAACAAAGAAAGACAGAGGGAAAAAACTGCAGATGTAAAGAAACAGAAGGAGAGTAATTGTGGAAGGCAATTGAACATAGATTACTTAAGTACAACCTAATAGTATAAAAAAAATCAACTTATGACAGGTTTCAGGCAATTTCAACCAGTTCTTTCCGTTTTTTTCCATTCATTAACAAATTTTTGCAACCAGAATTCACCTTTACCATATGCAAATTAACTATTACCAATCTTACCATCACAAAATTCCATTTTATTTCTTACATGTCAGTAGAAATATCAGTACAAAAGTTATTTAAGTCAAACAGGGCAGATATACACCTCGAGGAGTTAACAGTTGATGACAAAACTACGAATTTGATGCAACGACATGAACCGAGTACACCCAAATGGAAGTGCATTATGAAATAGTAAAGTTCTGTGTACATACTGTGTAGGCTTCCGTGGGCCACTGTCTTGTACTTATCGATCTCACCCATTGCTTCTCCCTATAAAACGAAACCCAATATGCCAAATGATCTTTCTGGACTTTTAAAAACTATATAAATATGCAGTAAGGAAGAAACTCTTACAAAATATCAATATACGAGAATATGAATATTTGTTTGTTTTTTGCAAACCAATCAAGTTTTAAATCAAGACATTGTACTTTTATGGTGGTTACACCTATGTGATTGTATCTCGTTTGTCGACTTTTTCAGTGACAAAGTCGTAGAGTTAACTAGGTTATTGTTTTGTTAATTGTTCGTTTTGTCATCGCAAAAATTAGGTTCTCTTATTATTTTAAACGTGACATGAAAAGTGTTGCGGTCCGATATTTAGAAAAGAATATACCTACATGATACATAAGCGACAACTATGGTTGGAACCCTTTACTTCTAAGGATTCAAAATTACTTACTTGCATGGCGTTTCACAGACACATTCCCTGGTTTTGTCTTCAAATTCTTTACCTATGCTAAATTGGCACTGTAATTCTGAAATGACAAAACCCCTGTTTTACTGAGCGCTCCAATGAGATTCCCCGTTCAGTACCACATGACATAACCTCCAAATGGCAATTTAATGCATTTACGAGCACATCATGTTAGTGTAATACCAATTTACATAAATTATTCTGATTGACATGTAACCAAAAGCAAATCCCCGTACAATACTCGTACATGGATGTAATTTTACTTTCAACAGCATCAACAATCGAATAAAAAACAACTCGAATGCATTTATAAGAAGACCAATGAAGGGTAAGGGTCTTCTGCCTCATCAACGAACGTCGCCATGAAAATCTAGATCAAATCCAAGTAAAGTCAGGTCCTCATCGCGAGAACCGAAGAAGTTACAATGAAGCGACATTTGGAAGGAAACCAGAGTACCTGGATAAAACCGTTACCTGTGTAGTCCGGCAGGTGACCTCGTACCTTTTTAAATCCGATCAGGCGATGTGTACTTTGTTGGTTTTGGATTGCCTAGCACGGACATGTAGCGATATATACTTTCCTTTGCTTTGAAGGCCTTAAAGATACATCATGGTGAAGTAACATTTTTTTGGTCTTTTTTCAAATACTACATAAACATGTCAAGTGAGTCTCCATATGGAAAATAACGTGATGTCCCTTTAAGATTGTTTAGTTCTATACTTACCTATCCGTGCTTTGTCGCCTTTAAATTGTTTTGCATGGTCATGTAGTTTTATCTACCATTCCTGGCTTTGCAGCCCTTAAGATTGTTTATAGTTATTCTTACTTTTCCGTGCTTTGTAGGGCCTGAAATTGCTCTGCATGGCAATGTAGCTATACGTACCTTCACGCGTTTTGCAGCGCTTTATATTGTCCAGTAAGGAGGACTGCAAAAACACTTCAACGTCATTGTTCTCGTGGCATCCACAACTGTCGATCACAGCTTGTTGGTGACATACAGACTGACAGGTCTGTGAAATAGACAGAACAATATCTTGTTTGCAATGACGGGACAAGCAATTATCGCACTTTTTGCGAGGACGTCTAATTATTTATAGTGAAATACATTGTAACCAATAAAAGTACCAAGTACCAATAAAACAAGGACCAACCAATGTAGTTTTTGAGATAGTTAAATACGGCAACAAACTGTTCATGGTTCTTGACCGTGTAGGAATAGAAAAATATCTCAAACAGCATTATGACAAATATTGCTGATGTTTTTGTAAACACGAATGTGTTAGCACTTTACATTTTCAGTTTCAATCTGTAAAACGAACAACCCCTATCCGATGTACTTGACTTTTGCTTTTAATCATACGAAAACCAGTATATACGAGTAATACATACCTGCCTTGAATACCTGGTTCTATAGCGTTGTTCAAACTCTACTCCATCGTCACAAGTTCCATATGGATGCCCCAATCTCTCAATGTTTATCTACAGCAGATTAAAATCAAAATTAAAATCAAAATTACCGTTCATCTGACAATATTAACCTAAATTATGGTTTCATTTTTAAAATATTATGAAGTATAAAATAAATCATACTTTATAATATTATAATATGAAATTTTAAGGGTAATTTTAACAATTCAGCTACATGTTTTTTTATGTGTATCCTTTTCAAGATTCATAAATGTCTGCGATTGTCAAATATACTGTCAACTCCGTCCCATTTTTGTCGGTGACAAGGGATGCTATCCTAGTATTATTATTATCGGTGTCATTTAAAAAGATGATTCAATCTAAGTTTTCATCCAAAAACGGTACATGAGCAGGAACAGCGATTTCGATTCGTTCATATCGTCTATTCTCCCTTATTTTCCTTTTGTATTTAAAATCACTTTCCTTTTTATCCTTTATTTTCACTTCTGTACCTAGCTTCTATTATTCTTGTTTTCAAATGGTACCCTCTTCTTTCCCTGTTATTCGCTTGTTTATAATTTTTATAATTATTTCATGATTTATGCGAAAGATGTAATTGTAATTTTATCATAATTCGTTCGCGTGACATTTGGTATTTAATTAATCCTTTTATATTTTAGAGACGACTGTGGAACAAGTAAGGTTAATAACCGTCCAGTCCCTCTTCTAAAGTTATAACCCTTAAAGTAAACGGAAGCCTACACTACCTGTTTTAATCCAATGTGTGTTTCAAACGCAGACGATACGAAGAATCCTTCATCAGCCGGATACGGAAATGAGTATTGGTCGTTTATGGTGACGCGCGCACCATATCCTTGCGTCAAACCGCGGAGGTATTCGTCGTTTTCCATAAACAAGATGATAGACAGCCCTGTTATACAGAAAGATATCTATTAATATTATTCTACTCGATTTAAATAATGTAAAAGTTCTTCTGGTGGTAAAGCGGCTGCTGCCATCACATGTGCAATTTCACCACCACCAGCACCCCTCCAACCCTTGTAGATTCGGGGATGGTTTCCTTTCTTGTCTTCTGTTAAGGGGAAATTAAAGAAGCACATAATAGACCTGCTGCATCCCACTGTATGTGTATCTTAAGTACTAACAGGCGTCTCATGTGGGGCCCTGCAGAATCGGGGGTTGTCTTCCGTGTATTCTACGAAGGTAGCAGGGAATTGACTGAAATTGATCTGCTGCTCCTATCGCAACTCTATTCCGTTTCCTATCTTTCCTTCCTACTTTTTTTCTTTCCTATCTAATTTCTCTTTCCAACGGTGTCTTCCTGGGCACCCATCCTCGTCCTGGCTGTTGCGAGGAAGTTAAACCCGCCACATGCTTATAGATGATTTGTGTATTTCAAACTGACAGTTGATATTCACTTAGGCATTGATTGAACTGCTTTTAGTTAGCATGCACAGTCAATATGAATACCAAGTGGAATTTGACAAAAACCAATGGAACGTGTTAACGCTTCATGTGTTATTTGTCACTCTCAAGTTTGTATCCGTATTAACTGCGTTTGACAGCTATTAAATTACTTATAAATGCATTTACTATTTCAAAAAGTTTAATCTCACAGAAAATTTGATTTACATATCATTATTAAGCATTTAGTCAAGCTAAGTGTATGAATCGTGCGTTATTGTTTAAAGAATAGAACAGACATCTTAAAGGAAGGGTCAGTGGTAGCTTACGTAACAATAATGACGTCATTATAATGATGACATTAACACGTATTTACACGTGGGTCGATGAACGCCAACGGTAGGGTTATATAAATTGGTAAATGTCAATAATAAACGTCTTGGTGTGTTACTTTCATCAATATACATATTTTCAGTGTATTTTTCAGATGTTTAATCACTGAATTAACTCAAGTCCAAAACTCCTATTACAAGTGATCTGGTATGTCAATATATATCACCCTCTTATAAACCTACCAAGCCATTTGCGGATACGTATTAATGTTTGTGTCAGAACGAAGTATTTGTTGTATAAATATAAGTGTTAATACAAGCTTGATAGATGATTCAATGGACTCCCACAAAATCGGCAGATTAAATGACCACAAAAGAAATACGTTCAGGGTTAATAATACATTGTTTGGATAAAGGTTCGTACTGAAATACTAACAAACCTGAAATAGTGGCGTATGTTTGTACCAGGACGCCAGTAGGTCCTGTCAGGTATGTTTGAACGACGGGCACTTACATCGATGAATAGACACATATACGTGTCTGTATTGTATACGACATTGAAGGCAGTTATCGCCTTGTGGGTAGTTTTTAATAGTAATAATTTAACATGTGTTCCGTGGGAAAGTAATGTTCGACCAGAAAATATACGGTATGTTTCTTAAATTGACACGACATTATAAAAGTATTTTGGAAGACGTCCAAAGCATCGCTGCAACTGTTCCTCCATCGAATGTTTATATACATAAGTGAATGAGATATATAAAAGTTTATGCACTTCTGTAGTTCAGCTGAAATGACGTAAGTATTGCTTCCTTTGTCAGCCAATAAATGACTACCACATTTTAGGATTAATAGGACTTAATCATAAATGAATCAATAAATGCTTTTATTCTATTAAAATCAATTTCAATTCAATTTTAAACTGTATTTCCATTGACAGGTTCGTCAGATAGTACGACAGATGCGCTAGAGTGTGTAACAGACTATAGGTATGATAAAACTCCCACCAACCAAACTTAGTTAAGAATGATACTTTTTTTATAAATAGAAACTATTATTTGTAATGTACAAATACGAAAGGAACCGTGAATATAGACCTGGTTAATACTAATTTAAAACGTACCGATTACGAACAAACTTCGTATATACTGTTAATTATGTAAATATCGCCGATACTGGTCTCCGCGACGTTGCTTCACGAGACTTATTAGCGAGATTTTAACTCATGGACGGAAACAAATACCACTAGTGTATATATAAATTTAAATCTGCCACGACCAAAAAAAAAATCGGGGAAAAAAATAATTCAACTTCATTTCATTCAAGTTAACTCGCAAAATATAAGCAATACCTACCTATAAAATGACAATAATAATCATCATATAGATTGCTTTGGTGTATACTTTCCTTTCTTCTTATTTTATGTAGGTACAAGCACTATTTCTAAAGCTGGACGTACCGTGTTTTGGACCTGAACTTTTGGATGTGAAGGCTGATGATTGGATCGTGTAGCAATTGCCGTACTCCATAGTCTGGTACCTGGTAAAATTACTGTCAAACAAACCAACGGTAAAACCTTTAATATATAGTCTGGTACCTGGTAAAAATACTGTAACACAAACTAAGGGCAAAACTGTCATCAATATAAAGTCTGGTACAGGGTAAAATTACTGTCAAACAAACTAAGGGTAAAACTGTCATCAATATAAGTCTGGTACAGGGTAAAAGTACTGTAACACAAACTAAGGGTAAAACTGTCATCAATATAAAGTTTGGTACAGGGTAAAATTACTGTCAAACAAACTAAGGGTAAAACTGTCATCAATGTAAAGTCTGGTACAGGGTAAAAGTACTGTAACACAAACTTAGGGTAAAACTGTCATCAAAACATAGTCTGGTACATGGTAAAAGTACTGTAACACAAACCAAGGCTAACGCAGTTGATGCATAGGTACTAAGTGGACAAAACATCAGTGAATGGGTTAGTGGAAGATACGTTTATTTCGTTCTCAACAACAAGAACTAGATCTAAGGTGTCATTACATGCTGTGTTAATGAGTGTTGTGACCTTCTCTTGAGAACGCCAAATTACCGTAGGTGATACTGTACTGTGAGATGTGACCACCAGGCTATATCTATTTATATATCAAATTGGCCGACGAGAAGGTGACGATGCTGCTTCCTTCCTAGACTACATTAAGAGACTCAATGTCCTGTACATAAGGGAATAATAGTCTTCACAAGTGCGTAACATTAGTTAAACCTGGTAAATAACAGCACTAACAGTGGCTAGATAAATCACGATGTTGAATGAGGAGTCAGACTCTACAGGCGAAAAACAGCTAAAGTGGCATTAATAAATGACGAGCAGTAATAAGATTGGTCTGGTTTGGTTTTTTAAGGTGTAACGTCCAATCAACAGGTAAGGTCATTTAAGCACATGCCTCCATGTGTGTAATGTATGCGTGCGTGTGTGTATGTGTGCTGGAGACATGGTATGTTGGTGTAATTGCCTCCTTGTGATAGCGCGGATCTAATGCCGACTTTATAGTGTTATCTTACTGGTATTTCAGTAAGATAACACTATAAAGACGAGTGCCAACTTGTTGCTTTTACCTTAAATACTGAACGTTAAATAGGGAATAACAACTACCATTGTTAAGTACTTTGGTATGTCCTGACATGGGGACAGACTACACTGCCTTCCCCACCTGAGCAAACGTTCAACATTAATTAAAGCCGTATTAAAATTGAGATATTGGAGCATTGCAAAGAACCCTAAGACTTTCAGGGAATACTGGGATTCGAATTGGGAGTAACACAATGACCCCGGTGACAGAGAATGTAAAATTATGCAAGGTTTATATGGGGATGAATGTGGAACGTCATATCTATCCATGAAAAGGGGAATAGCTAGTCGTTCAAGGAATCATGGGACACACATGCAGATCAGCGCTATGAACCCTGGGACATATTCTTAAGCAAAATACCACACGGAATCCTGGGATTTGTTGACGACAGTTCCCAGCACATATCATCACATGTAGTTTTCTATTTCGGCAACATAAAGCATTACATGTGACTTACTAAAACAACAAAGTTAAGTAATACTCACTCGGGGAAGCATTCGTAACCGTCAAAGGAACAGCTGATGAGCATATCTTTGATCTGGTGACCCATATCCACCCGATTCATCCTGGTGACAGTAACAGAAGTGGTTAGCGACTATTATACATGGTTCCACTGGGTTAAGCCATTTATTTATTTTTACAAGATGTAATTTGACAGTAGAACCGATCGTCAATTTACACAGCATACAAACAGCAATAGACACAGAGCTATGTACAACGGGTCCTCTTTATTTTCTTAATGATTCTTTAATTAATATCACGGCGTTGCGACCCAGAATAGTAGATTTACAAAACGCGATTAACATTAACCATTTCCTTATTTTCTAATCATACAGCTCTATTATTAAAGAATACCCTTTGACTGGCCAATATATAGGACGATATTATATAGATTTATAGATGAAAAAGCACTATATTGGTCAATAAATAATATCTACAAAAATAACTTTGAAAACCCTAATACAATGTGTACAGTGACTTTTTAACATCATCTATTCATTTCTAAGACAATATCCCCTTTTTCATTTCATATTTAAGACATGAATCGAAATTAAGACTGTACCTTTTTTCGTTGCTGTATAATGACCGGAAGGTGTCCTCCAGATTAGCTATCGGGTCCCTTGGTGGTCTCGGTGGCTCGTTTTTCTTCCGGAAGTCGTCCTCGTCATAATCTAGGTATTCGTCTATCTTGTCATTGTCGAAGTCATCAACGAAACGTTTTCTCCGATTCTGAAGCAAGAGGAACCGAAAGTATTTGTGTAACAAAAGGCACTATGTGTTTTCGTCCTCAGGAGAACACATTTTAAAACATAGTGAAAACAACAAGCTGTTAAAAGAGAACCCGAATTCCATTAGATTATTGATATTTTATTAAAAACACAGTTTAAAATGACTTTTAGAATGAAAAAAAATGTGTCGTTTTTTTATGAATAAACGATGATAATTGAGTTGAAGCCTTTATTACGTCTGACAATCTACTTACAGAGGGAGGCTGTCCGGCCTCACCCGTCCCTGGCGTGCGGGGTCTTGAAGTTGTACGAAGAGAACCGTCACCAAACGCGTTTATCGTTCCGTTTCCAGTACCATTTGTAGCATTTCTGTGTTGTGGACGACTTGTTCCATTAACAACGGAATCAGTAACACCACTTTCGGTAACATTGGTACCATGTGTATTAGTAACATTGCCTGTTCCGTAACCATCCGTATTATAAGCAGGGGTACTTCCGGTTCCGGTTACGTTTGGGTTCGGAGATTCAGCAACTGTTTGCTCTTCATCATCATCATCCTCTTCGTCGTTGTCAAAACCTTTCGGGTCAACGTATTTGATGAGTTCCTGTAACGGAAGCGATGCTCTGTCGAAAACGGAATTTCTCAATGGATTCACATTACAAATTGTCACCGCTGGCATTTCTAAATTGCTGAAACTTAATTTTATTTTTGTTTGTTTCGGCCATTGCACGAACTGTGTGATAAGATAGAAGAGATGAAAACACATCCAGCCAATAGCTATCACCAGTAATAAACTCCAGATCATTTTAGCGTACCACAGTCGGGCATTGTTGATGTACGGAACACCTTGCATAGACGTCTTCTCGGAAAACCGCTTTATCAACTTACTGAAGGACTTGTATTTATTGGAGTCATTAGAAGCAACTGTGTCAACCGATAGCTGGTCCTGTATGGGAAGGAAAATTAGAAGTTTGTCAGAATCAATTCGTCCTGTTACCACAATATCAACGTTCAATATATACTGTATACAGAGATATTATCTCAAATATACCAAATATAATGTATATGAATTGATCATCGTGGTCGGTTTTTTTGCGAATTTTGATGATATTCATAATTCGAGGTTCTTATATACCGCTTTATCACAACCTAGTTCGTAGGTCGTCTCAAAGCGGTTCCCAACTTATTATCCGTGATTATAGGGCCTTTGCGAACACCTTTGCGAACAGCCAATATCTGTCTCAACTCCCTGGGGAGCGTATACAGCCGGTGCTGCCATTTTGGCGCTCACAGCTAGCATTCTACAACTCTAGCACTGCCCAACCATGTACTCATTAACAGCTGAGTTGACTGGAACAAGCGGAATAAAGTATCTTGCTGAAAGATACAACACAGTGCCGTGCCGTGCCGTGATTCGAACCCGCAACCCTTCGTCACAAGCCCGGCGTCCTACAACTAACAGATTACCGTGCCTCCTAACACACGACAGATAACCTAACACACTGCTAACCAAAAATTCAGCATTGTGCAGATACGTATTGATTTCTAATTAAACGCAAAATAACATTCCGCAAAGCTGCAGAACTATACAGTAGACATTGAGACATACTTAAATAACACCCCGCCAAATCAAAATAATCGTACAGTTATTAAAACCTTGATATAAACATAGGCATAGTTGTTTTCGTTCATCTGAGACTGTTTATTAATTTTGTATTGTAACTGAAACGGAAATGTATACAGGAGTTAGGCTCATGGGAAAAAGGCTTTTATTTTCATTTCCTGTTTAGGTCAAACCAAACATTATATGTGTTTCAGGTAACATGCCAAAAAGGTAGGTCTGTAGACATTTTTTTTTTAATTTTCTTTGATAAATATTTTGCTTTTAACCAAAGTTTGCAATGCATTTCCGTACATAACAGTGACTATTAAGCTTTCAAGGATGGGATCACGCTCCTAGTACAGCAGGAAAGGACATTAAATGAATGACCGAGCTTTTCCTTACTATTAAAGTAATCTTGGATACAAGTAGGTGATGGAATGTTTTAAAGTCGGAAGGGAAATCTAGGATAGGTCGTTATATCGGAAACACACACGGTTTTGTCTCTTGTCTTATGTACGGTGCGGTTTGGACAGGTAAGGAAGCATAATTGGACAATCAGAAATAGATACTGCATACGTACCACGTACTTATAATTAAGATAAAAACAGCTGTATGATGATATCTACCAAAACTGTGCGTGGGAAATGTACATGTTCATGTTATATTTATTTGTTTTTTTGTGATAATTGATCTACACCATCACGAACTCGGTCATGCATCAGATGTGTAAACACAAATACGCTACTCACCTATATATACCGCTAAAAACGATACGTACATTAGCAAAGTATATAATTTATAACAAACCATATAATGTATCCATTATAAAGACATTTACTACCTACAAATATTTATTATCATAAGTGTTTCGTGTATAAAAACAACTTATTTGGTATACGCTACAGAATTAAAGTGTCAGAACTTATTCTTAAAAATTGAAATTGGCAAAAAACAGAGGGACTCACTTTGTACGGGCCCTTTCAAAGGACGGTTTAATCTGCTTCTTCCCCCAACACCCTTCCACCTCCAGCCCGGTTTTTTCAGAAATGTACATGAACAGCCCGGTTTTTCTCATTTTTTTTTTTTTATATATATATACATATACAGCCCGGAGTCAAATGAACATGAAATGCATTTGAACTGTAATATGGTAGATTACATTCAGAAACAATGCAGTGTAATGTTAGGAAGTTAATAGATAACATGCAAGTGTTTTAATTTTGTTTTTATTACATTTATATTCCACTTCATACTCGACAAATTATATTTCACGCTGGTTACTGGGCGACTTATGCTTTTAAAGATTACAAGTCCAGCTTCATATTGTCGTTTAGTTTAATATGATCAACGTTTTTAAACTACATAGAAGGCAAAAAGGTCTATTATCGAAAGTATACAATATTTTCCAATACACATTTTGTTAAAACTGTTTATTTCTATATTGGAAACGCTAATCACATTTGCAAGTAAGTTTTTTTGCTAACCTTACAAAAGATAACCTACCGAAGCATTTGAGTGAATATAGCTCTTGTCGTTCAATGGATTGCTTAAATTCATATCCGAATTATTCGCCAAATTAAGAGTTAATTAAGGTACGGGATCAAAAAACTTGAATTGAACGTGAAACATTGTTTAATAATCTGATTATACCTAATAGACAGTCATCAAATTTAGTCCTACAAGTATTCTTTAGTAGACGGCTTGACAAGAAAAACCTTTCTGAACAGACTTTTAATTAATTTTAAAGACACCTGTATATCCCTGACAACAAATGTAACAATCCCGGGAAAACTACAGGTTTCCTGGTTCTACATTGTACCAACCTCGTCCCTCCGAACCGCGGCGTCTTGATAGTCGGCCGGAGGTTCCCAGAACCCGTCTTTGTAAGTGTGTCTAGGGTGTTCGATGTCAGAATGTCCTGCCAATGTTGGCGTCGATCTGTGCGATATGAGTTCTAATCCAGAGGCTGTAGAATTATTAGCGGACATGTTGCTTTTTTGAATGGCTCTCACAAAATTAGACTTTCTTTCGAATTCGTTACTTATTTATCACATTTCGGCAAGAACGTCACGCGTGATTCCACGCGAAGTTATTCATCAAGATCGTATCCTGTTTACCCGTTCATGGACTACTGGTAAATACGTCAACCACTCCAAGGTGTGTTTGCAGCTAAAAAGAAAGTACCTGCTTTATAACAGAACAATCTTCTCGGTTACGATCGAAGCGGTCAATGATGACTAGGTTTTGACAATAAAACTTTCACGTGCTTTTGAGCATGCGCAGCAACAACAACAACAACAAAAACAGATTTTTACTCTCTATCACTGCTAACGTTGTTAACTGTTACACAGTCCAATTGGGCTCCAAGGGTAATTGTTCATATTGTAAGTTTCTAATCGGCGAATCAGGAGCGGCCACAAAAGATACAGTAACGCAACTAAGTATACCTATTAGTCGAATCTCGCTGAATGAGATCGTATACCCATTCCTAGCACCGACTGTGGCTACCTGGGTGTACCAAGCACGTGATCCTATCGGTGAATGTACATTAGGGAAGACGTCAGTCGAGACACCATAAAGCGGGGGTAGACGTGGGATTTATATACATTGTATCAATAGTTAACATTAAATACTGATCAGCTAATAGTGTCGCGCAGGTAATCACCCATCGTCGCAGTAACATCTAATAAATCTACAAATGTCTTACTTAGGACACGCAATCTAGTATTTCGATAACTGAAGCAAATATTTGCTGTCTTAAAATTCTTCCTATTGAAAAAAAAAAGAATCATGCAGAGTATATCGCTCATACGTACATGTAAGGAACTGACCTTACGGGTATCACAAAATGGATGCGCCCTTAATTACCGTAAGAAAATTTCTCGCTTAAGTACGTGTTTTATAAATACATACATGTGTAGTATTCCGTCGTTCTTTAAAAAGTATGTATACCCAGCAAATTTTTGTCTGGACAAACAACGACGACTTCTTCCATCAAGCAGCTGATATTTCATATTTCATATATCGAAGTCTTACTAAACAACGTAGTTCGAACTCAAAATCTATAAACCCATTGCAGAATATGAAGAAAAAAGCTACATTGAGATCTTTGAAAAAGTGCAAAAGACTCCGATTAGGTGTTCCGGAAGGTTAAGCGTCTTCTGCTTCATTAGCTACACCCGACATGAACATATATGTTAAATACAAGTAAACCATGTCATCAAAGAGAGAAAGGGGTGGTGAAAAAGAAATTACAAGACACACTATCAAAGACACCAATCTTCATATCGCACGAGGAGTAGAATATCTTTCAATGAGATGATGATTGTGACCATCTCTCTTGTATATAGTCTTCGTCAAACTAAAAATACACAACTAGTCATTGGATACGAACTAACTATGACATGATTCCAGCGTATCGGTGGGGATTTGGTTTGGTGTTTTGTGCTAATACGTCTTATGACAGCTATAAGAAATATTCCTTGAATCGTAGACTTTTCCACCCAAATGCTTACATAAACATGCATGCATTGACAAGTTTGAAAAAAACGTGTTCGTTTTTATTACTGAGATTCTTGGATTTCTGTTTTTTCCTTTGATCACTTCATATGTACTTGCTTTCCATTTTTCACATTTATTTCATTTCCGGCAATGTCAATACATTGTGTCTGATTATGTCGTACGTGCTGTAACGTGCATCCTCGATATCCAGGGATTACGCTCACTTTCGCTCTTGACACCCCTGGAATAGGGAATTGCAGGATTGAAGGCTCGGTGTGCACCGCCATGTGGATGAGACGAGAAGACTAGTTTGATCCTGTGATGTACATCAAAAGAATCCCGCGGTCGCGTAACGGTAAAACGTATTGGCTGTGAAGTCGGGCGTCGCTCCTCTGTAATCTTCAAAGGACATATATCAGCCTAGCGATTGGTTAGTTTTTTTTTACCTGACACAATCAAATAGCTAGCCGCGTGCCATGACATATTCCAGGGGTGCAGAGAGCAACAGTGAGCGTTACCCTGGATATCGAGGATGTGTAATGTGCTACGTGTATACGTTGGATCACTTATCAAATAACAGAAATTTTGGGTAATTTTACGCAAATAAAGTGTTCCTAAGTCGATTTTTCAATAATGACTCATCATTATAGTTTGATGTATACTTTTAATGGTAAGTATAAAGTGTACTTATTGTACACACCGCTGAACAGATGATCGCAGGTAACGGGCGCTTTCTATCAGTATATCGTTCAGACATATATTTAATAAGTCATTTCTGAGGCAAATTATCAGTTTAATCGGATAAACCGTAATCGTTGTTATATTGTCAAAACAGGATAAATATTACGATTTTCTGACCTTAAAACGACCTGAAGGTAGCGCACAGACCTGATAAACAGTACAAGGTTTCTCCCAGGTTACTGGCATTGATTTGTTTATTTACAAGGTAATGTAAACATGAACAAGTGGTATTTTTTTTTTACATTTTTTAAGAAAAAGGAATGTAAGAATGTCTTAATAGCGATCATTAGCAAATATCATTTATTGGAACAAAACTTAAGTCGCAACATTTACTTCTTCAGGGAAGGCAATGGCACGGCTTTTAAAATGAAGGCAACGTAGACAGCATTGTTAAACTTCGTTTAATTTACAACAATTATAGAATATGCTGGCCCGGGAGGAAGTGCGCATTGGTTATCAAGTTGGGAGGAAACCGGAGTACCCGAAGAAGGACGGTGACCCAATGAACCACAGCCGTCTTGGTAAAACGTTAATGGCTGTCCACTGCGCTACCTTTCTTATCATGTATACGGGGTTCATGTTCATACATATTCAAAGTTAAGGTTTGTTCAAGAAGATTTTATTTAGATATGCCAATACATTTAAAAACCTTATGTGTGTATGTGCTAATTAAACTTTAATAATGAGATAAAACTTAAAGACGTTAATACTTTCCTCATTATTACTAGAATCCTATAGTATCAGAAACACAAATCGGTTTCTTAATGCTTCTATGAACTAATCATTGATAAAATGTCTATATATAATATACTGTATTCCATGTCGACAGATATAATAGAAGTTTTATGTGTGAGGTGAATGGCTCTAATTTGAATGTGCATTGAATGCCGAGACCCCTCTGAGCTTTACCACACTCTACGTAAACAGATTATATCTAGGTTCTTCATTGAAAACATCTTAAAACGCCAAGGGGAAATTTATAAATACAGCTTTATGTACCAAGGAGTATGGAATGTATACGTGTATATGCACCTCTAATCAGCTTACACATCGTGAGGTGTATTATTATCAAAGTTTGTGCACTAATAACTTTCTCTACACATATTTTGGAGATATCTAGAGATTACTATGTATTAACCGTCAGATATTAAACGTTTTCTGGACTCTTTTAAAGATGCAATCACATGTGTAATTTACGTTCATCTTTCAAGACGTTCATAACTGATATTAGCAGTTCATGATGAACATAATTGTTCATAACGTACATTTGTATTTCATAACATACATTTGTAGTTCATAACGTACATTTGTATTTCATAACGTACATTTGTATTTCATAACGTACATTTGTTGTTCATAACGACCATTTGTAGTTCATAACGACCATTTGCAGTTCATAATGCACATTTGTAGTTCATAACGTACATTTGTAGTTCATAACGACCATTTGCAGTTCATAACGTACATTTGTATTTCATAACGTACATTTGTTGTTCATAACCACCATTTGTAGTTCATAACGACCATTTGCAGTTCATAACGTACATTTGTAGTTCATAACGACCATTTGTAGTTCATAACGTACATTTGTATTTCATAACGTACATTTGTTGTTCATAACGACCATTTGTAGTTCATAACGTACATTTGTTGTTCATAACGACCATTTGAAGTTAATAACGACCATTTGCAGTTCATAACGTACATTTGTATTTTATAACG